CCGAAAAATGATCCAATCCGTGACTCTGACTGCACTCCTATTTTTAACATTAGTCCAGACTGGACAAACTAAACACCTTTTGAGTTTTGATGACAACTGAAGCTACCACAGGTTCTTTTTCATGTTTGGAAGGAGAGGGTGAGGTGAGGGGTGCAACAAACAATTTCAACACTAGATATCATAAAATTCTACACAGTGTACCTTTAAGTAAAAATTGAAATACTTTGTATATCTTAAATATACAAAAGCAAAATTCTGCTTTGAATTTTTTTTATCAAAGTAAAAGTGTGTAATTATTATCAACAAAATGTTAATGCATTACAAAAGTAAAAGTACCTATGCAGGCAGTATGATATCTGTGTGAGTATTTATGTATTTTCATTACATTACATTATGTTGATCATGCTATATTAAATATAAAGTTAATGTCAGTGAGTTAAATTTAGTGCAGCAGAAAGTACAAACACTCCAGGAAACTAAAAGTTTCACAGAATTTAGGAATTAGCATAGATGTATTCCATTACTTTCCACTACTGTTTAATATGACATGCAGATTGAAAAATATAATGTATAGGTATCAATACTCTGAAATCACAGCTGAGATTTTGCTTCAGACTCTTCAACAGGCCAACATTAGAATCTAAGAAAGGTCCAATCAAATGAGGTGCATCATGGGCTATATTTTAATCCACACTAACACATGCTCACCCCAACCGGTTGAGGCAGGTGGCCAATGCTTTCTCATCGTGGAACTGTTGCAGTATTGAAAGGTCTGGACCTTATAGGTAAAGAGCCTTTAGATAATGTTAATGAAATATGAGCAAATAAAATAAAATGCATTGAACTGGCGTGTGCTGGTCACCTGTGCATGGAGAAGTGCATTATGAAGTAGAGTGAGTCAAACAGCAGAAAACACGCGATGATCTCCACGAAGAGCTGCAAGCAGGAGGGAGCCTGCGCCGGCAACGCGGGGCTCCGCAGGCTCTGGAAGAGCGCGGTGGCGGGCAGGATGACGGTCAGGTATCGGTACAGCACGGACCAAAAACAGCGGTACCACAGTCTAACAGACGGCGGCGCCCCCGAGCCCGCGGAGATCCTCCAGGAGCGGACCCGCAGACACACGCCGCCAAGCGCGTCCAGCGCCAGGAACGGTGCGCAGAGGAAGAGGTGCGTGAGGAAGGCGTAGGACGCGGGCAGGTAGGGAGAGAGCAGGATGTCCTCCTGTCCCTCTCTCACACGCTCCCACAGCCCCTGGAGGACATGTGCACACGCCTCCCCCTGCTGTGAGGACGAGAGGTTCATCACTGTCTCACCTCCACGTCCTGCATCATGAGCTCTTCTCGGAACGGGGACTCGATCCACTTCTCCTCTCTTTTAGAATATATTATGGTTCCCAATAACGTTCCTCGGCTGCAGCTCCACTTCTTCTCAGAGAGGAGGAGAGTCTGCTGGAGAGTTATTCCTTCGCTTTCACTTGGAGGAGGAGCCATTCACCCATACAATTGAAAGCGTATTGTGGAACTTTTCGTTGCGGCACGATAGAAGTGTTCAGGAGAATTGAACTCACGTCATATGCTACATGTGTTTATACGGACATAAGATGCTGGAAACGTGGGGGATTCCTGAGAATTGTTTGTTCTCTGAAACAGCCAGGGGCGGTTCTACATTGAGTGACTCACCGAGCGGGACCCCCTACAGCCCATATTTACAGATGAGTTTGTCTCATTAGGCTTATCAAAGTGTGATATCCTCTGTTCTGAACCCTCAACAAGACAGAGAAAAAACGACTCCATTAACAAGGGAAATAAAAGTAAAAAACCTCAGAGTGAGCCACGTGAGGGATCCCTCTCTCAGGACTGATGGAAGTACAATAGATGCCACGTTTAACTGAGAACATCGACAAAATAACAGTATTTCAAACAGAAAATGTCTGATAGAGATGAAGGGAGCAGCAATGACAAATGAATTGAGTATTTGGGAATGGGAGTACATTATCATGATCCAAGGTCAGCTGGCCCCACAATCAGGATGCACCACCACTTAACGCAGGATTTTAAGAGTTGTTTAGATACTTTACATTTTATTGGGTTCGAAACAAACATATTTTCTTTTATACAACTTTATTAATAATAATCATCATCCTATATCACAGTGCACTTTAAATGTACATAAAAAAATCTTCATAATGCCAGTGATTTCTAACACAATAACCCATAGTTCTTTATTGTCAAATGACAATATCTGAATTGCACATTAACAATTTAAATCAGTGCAAAAGCATTGGCCCTTCAAGTCATTGTAAATCTAAACAAACAAACAAACTACTTACTAAACCTCGAGCTATGAAATGAAATAAGTCAGATGTTGACAGCGTGTAGAGTGGTTCTGTTTCATTTGGTCACTAACTTACATTCTGTGCTGAAAATGAAACACAAACATTGTGTCAACAGTTGGACAAAATGGACAAAGGGCACATCGTGTTTTTTGGTCCTGGCCATCTCAAGATGTCTATGAAAAGGGTTTCAAGTGTCCACAGAGAATGATTGACTCCTACAGAGTATGACTTGGACATTATAGCTTTTCTTAATTTCACTCCCTATGACCTCTTCCTCCTACTGGACGGTGGGTCATGTTGCTGAAGGCTCTAAGACAAATCTCTACTGTAGGTGTCCTGTAAAGATTCTTACAAGACACACGCAATGCTTTCAATAACTATCCCTATAAATAGCTGAATGGAGCTGATGTTGGATGTCTATAGTTTCTTTATCAAACAAAAGTACAAAATGCTGCTTCAACGTCACATCTGAACACTTTCAATAAAACTCCTGATGCAAAACATAAAACAAACAATTGTACAAACATCGTCTCCACTACAGCTTCAGTGTGACACACAAAGTTGTTTATAAATATTCAGCAAAAATGTGGTCCAAAGTCCTCAGTGCTGGAAAGACAATTTACAAAAACAGATCAAAACAGATGGAGAGACAATGTTGGAGCCGACAGTCACAGTACATTCATCTTCCCTGTGATTTGTCTACAGTGACAGATCTGATATGGGCCAGTATTTTTCAACCTGTTCAGAATCACATAACATCATCCTCAGGTATATATTTGCTCCTTCTTTTAGCACCATCAACAATTAATAATTTTGTTGAATTATGTTATTATAAAATTATCACTGACAACATATTTCCTCAAAGAGATGATCTAGATTTAAACATTTTTGTATTTAGAAAGATGAGTAATCTGTATTTCAAGGAGTCAAAAGGATGGTGTCTTTAAAATCATCTTAAAGACTCAAATTCCAAAAGCAGAAAGGGTTTGGAACTGATCATTTGTGTTTATCTGGTGTAGCATAAGTAAACACAATGGTTAGCATGCCTGGCTAAATAGCTTACAAAGCACAGTAGCAACTCTGATTTAGTTCCAAGTTCTAAAGTTATTAAATGTATTAAATGTTGTGTGACGTTACATCTTACGATTAAAAAAAAGCCCTGTTTATATCTTGCACATCTACTATTTACACTCCCCCACTGCCTTTTAGTGTTGGAGCTGGTCCTTGTGTCAAACTTGTTACCCAAGTTGGCATCACTGAAACAAAGAATACAATTCAAACGTCCAAATTCTACTCATATTCAAAGTACACTACATTGCAACACAGGAATGTTGCAGTGTCATTATGTCCGTGTCTGGTACATCCTCAATCAATCCACTGGTTAGGGTGCACTCAGGTAATCTGGGACATTTTTTTGCAACTTTAACTTCTGTGACTTATTCCAATATCTGTTTTACACATCAGATCAACATATTATACCTATGTAATCCTTAAGATGTCTAACCACACCAGAAGAAAAGAAAGAATGGAGATATTCTACTTGACAGCTTTTAGTGTCCAAAAAGGAAAATTCTTGGAACACTTGTATTGTGCTTCAAAAAAGCCCAATTCACCTTGCTTTATGCATTCCAAGGTCAAGATTACCAATTGTTTAAAAGCATTATGAAAAAAGGACAGAAAGCTGAATGAGAACATTTATATTATTCATAAAATGTCAATAATTCATATCAACATATAAAGTCCTACCTTTTCATGAAAGAATCATATCTTAAATTAGGAAACTATAAAATGTATTTCATTCTATTAAAGGTGTATTACATAAAAGAAATATCAATTAAAATTCAAACAGCGAGCAACAATAACATATTATTCACCGTTCTATTGGAGATTCTCACGGAACATTGTCTTATTTATGACACATTTATATCCTTAACATTAATCTTGTCAGAATAGTATGTAATTGACCTTGTCACGCAATTCCAATGGGGAGTTTCTGATTGACATTTGCCCCCACCTCTCCTCCATGAAGTCATGTGATTTCAGTTACATGATATGTAATGCTATCCATGCTAAGCTTAAAGTAGAAGTCCTGTTGACTAGAATAAACAGACTGAAGCTTAGGTGTCCCAGATTACCCAAATCCCCCCTACAATGCTGATTGTTTGTTGGAACAGCTTGTTTGCATCACATCATGTATGCAACCATCAACTGCATATTAACAAAATCCCTTTTTACTGGGTTCGACTTTTAATATAAATTAGTTGGCAACATTAAAAAGTCAGCTGTAGTCCTCATTTCAACCAGCTAATGGAGCTAAGAATAGCTTAGTTTGCCTGTATGGCTACAAAAAAATGCAAAAAGTGTCCAATTCAGCATATCAGTGCTAGTGTCAATGTGCTGTAAGTAAAAACATGATCAGAGGTGGATTTTATAAATTATGCCTTGTCTCAGTATGCTGCGCTTCCTGTCACCAGAACACTCCAGAAATGTTGTTGTGAACATGTCTGAGCCAGAGAATCTCCTTCTGCATTGTTCATAAGTGAGGGATGTTGACATAGCGTTCATAGTTGAAGTCAAAAAATGGCTTCAGAGGAAAGAGGCTTTTAGGAGATGGTCAATTCATGCAACAAGGACAATGCAGCGTAACAACAATATTACTACTTTAATGCTCAATTAGAACACATGTCACAATTGAACACAAAAGCAGTAACAGATTTTGGTTCTGTTTTGGTGTAAGTGGGTACACTTTCCACACGGCCCATTAAAGCTGAGCAGAGGCTAAATTACTATCATTAAAAGTTGTTTTTGGCTAATGTCAGTTTTAAAGGGGCTTGTCACCCATGGATGATGCTATATCATCTAGTTTCTCCTCCACCTAAATTATGGTTCTGAGTAGATGGTTCCATTCCTCATCAGAACAACGAGAATAGGAAAATAACTCAAGTACTGTGCTCTGAGGAAGAAGAATTTTAATTTATAGTCAAACTTTCAATTTTCTAATGAACTTTTAACATGGCTTCTAGCAGTGATTCTGAAATATTTGAGAAATACCGGCCCTTGTCAGCAGAGCTTCTCTGGGCCAGAAGGTGAACCTGGCAGCCTGTGGGCCAGGCTACTGCTCTCCAACAGTCAGTCCTCCACCCCTGGGTGGTCATGTGTGTCCCACTACTTAATCCACGTCCAGGATCTGCTCACCCATAATGTCCATGGCTGCAGAGACCTTGATGGAGCTCCCTGCAGAGCCAGAGTCCACAAACATCTGTGGTATGTCGTTCCCAAAGTAGATCTTACTGTTGGTTGCAATGGCCTTGTACTTCATTAGCTGCAGGTACTGTGGTGTTAACTTCATCTGCGAGAGTGACAACACAATTCAAGTTACAAACAAATCTGTTTAGTCTCTCCAGTCCCTGAAGTCCCCGCTCAGGTGTGTTTGTGTCACCTGCTCTTTACCTTATTGGCCTCGGCAGCTCTTTGTGCTGAATAGAAGTCTGCATCTGCCTTGGCTTTCTGCCGGGCCAGGAAAGCACCATCTATGAATCACAAACAAAGTCAGAGTCACCAGGAGGGTTGTTTTAAAAGTCCTCAGTATTTTACAGGTCAGAAACCAGGAAGATGGTTAAATACACAAGTTCCACTTTAACAGCTGATTCCCTGGGCCCATATATATGTTTGTAGGACACAAAAAGAGGGGTAGAGTAACTGAGTACTAACATATGCTGTAGCAATAACTGTGAACAGACTGAAGAGTAAAATCCGTGGAAAGGAATTGATTTCTCTTCCACCACTGGATACAAACCTTCAATTTGAGAAATCCTTTTCTCTGTTTCCTTCTCCATGACTTTCTGTCCAAACTTGATCTCTGCCACTTGTGCAACTTTCTCAGCCTCTGCAAAACAAATAATTGTAATCAAACTGTTTTTCTTGACAATAAACTGCACCCATTGTTGTTTTCTCTGTTCTCTCTCACCTATCACAGCTTTGATCCTTTCGGTCTCTGCCTCTTTCTCCACAACCTTCTGTGTCTGTTGAGAGATTAACAGCTTCGTCTTCTCGCTCTCCCTGAATGAATAAAGCACACTTTATCATTAACAGGTGTCTTTTCTTGTTTCTCTGAATCCTCAGAGCTGTGTGGGCATGTGCAGAGCGGGCTTTATTCACTTCTGCATCACTCCCCTGTTGACAGTGTTAAGAGGGCAGGACAATGAACACCTTTATCATTATACCTTACTGCAGTGTTGGGTTTGGTCACATTATGCTCAACATAATCCCTCCAACTTTAACATAAGTACAGAGGTGTAATCATAGAAAGTTCAACCAAATCTTCACATTAGATTTAATTACCTTAAATTTTCTCCCTTTTTGAGTTGTTTTTATATCCGGCTTATTTGGAAACTGGTAATTACAGTAGCTCCTGTATGAAATAATTTAATAAACTGTAGTGTTAGCCCAAAGCACTGCACCGTCACAGACTTGATAACATCACAGGCACGATCAGAGGTATTTTACAGAACAAAGAGTAATAAAAACAATCTTTCCCTGTTCCCAGAAGCACCAGGTGCATCTTGCTGCTGAACTATCAAATGCGCTCAGTTAAGCTCCCTGCACACTGGACTTATAACTGTACTTTGCACCATGGTGTATAAAAAGAGAGCATTATGTTTATATTGACTAGTGTTTGCAAATTGTTCCACTACAGTGTGGCTTTACTCTGCACTCTGTGCATACAGAGTGTCAAACTAAAGCTGTGTGTGAACTTAATGTTTCATCTCTCATCCAAGAGGCTTCTTCAGTTCAGTTTGTGCAGTGTTTGCAGTAAAGACCTGATCTGTTAAATTCCATTATTCATAATGTTAAAAAGCATTGAAATGTCCATAATTTACAGAAGAAACTATTTTACATTGATTTTTGGAGAATGAGAGTATAAAGCTCAAAACCTTCTTGCTCTAGCAAACTTTTTGGATATGCATATCGACACCTGTTAGAAGTTAATGCCATTGTGTTATTTTATATACCTGATTTCAATTTGCTTAGTGTTTGAAATCTTAGAGGATGAGTGAGAAAAAAGTTAGTGAGTGAGTTAGATAGCTGGAAGCATTTGTTGTTGTGTTTGTTGGCTGCAGCCACTATGGGTTTTGTTTTTTTTACACCTCACCCTTTTGTTTTTACTCAGGGGTATGCACTTTAATTAAAACTCTGATAGACATGGAGCCTGATGATGGGCTTGCATATAAAACTATTTATCAACATTTTTGCACACCCTCCTACACCTATTTAAAATGTAACTAATGTTTATCCAGAACACATTAACACACTCACTTTMTACTTWTATTAAAATAAAAAAAGTTTTTAGTGACAGTAGTCTTAGTTGAGTGCACAGTACCGTTACTCTTTCCACTTCACTGAAAAATGTTCAATTACTGAATCAACCATTTAATCTTTCTGACAATACCACTAAATTAAAACAATCTAACTAGAGAAAATTAAATTTCTGTTACAATGTGTAGCTTATTTTTAATGCGGTTGTTGTCAAATGCAATTTTAACTTGCAGACTGAATTCACTTTACCAACAGCTTAGGTTTATATTTCAACTGCTGCTTCCTTGTCTGGAGGACAGAGTAAGCAACACAAATGCCCAGACTGTCAGACAGGCTGTAAAAACAAGAGTGAAAATACTCTGAACCATTTACTGCGAAGTGAAAGTAAGAGTATGCTCATCAAAAGTCTTCTTGTCCACTTCAAGTTAAAACTGTCATCTGCAACTTCTGCAGAAAAAATAGTAATTCCTCTGTATTCTGGATCTCCTACACTTTGTCTTATTAAACAGATTCAGCAAAGATTACTTTTGATGAAGCTTTTGTGTGTCGCTGAGTAATTTGGGATAAATGTGCCAAATGATGCGATATACCTGCAGAGGATTAGTGGCATATAGATTGATGATTGAGTAAAGGGAAACTCAGCCCCAGGTTATAAACTTAATCCCCCCTTTTGTTTCAGTTCACTTGAATCTGTGTGATTCATCAATAACAGTGACTCAACATATGGTAATTTTAGGGCTGTGATGGGAGACAGTGAGTGTACTTGTCACAGTGAAGTGGGTGGCAGTAAAAGACTGGGTTACGCCACAGAGTTTAATACCACAGCAACTTCTGACCTTCAGCTGCTGTTTAAACATCTAAGTTAGCCAAAGACCTTTTAGTCAGCCACTAGCTAGCGGCTGAAGGAACTGCTAGAAAACTAATCTGCTAGTGACAGTTTCAGTGAGAAAAATCAGTAGTGATAATTCTTCTGTAGCTGAGTCAGAAACATCCACAATCTGGTATCATAAGGTCATCATAAAGGTAGCTGGAACCCCAACCCGCTGCCACTACTGCACATGCAGCCAAGCTCTTGTAACTTTAATCACAAATGTATTATTGTATTTTGAGTTAGGAAGATTGATTGCACATGACATCTACTTTAGTGTCTCCCAACTGTATGTCTTTAGTGTTACGTCACTGTTTTGGTCCAATTTGCTTAGTCATGCACATCTCCTAAAGCTTACCAATCGGTTTGTGTGTAAAAGCTCATTTGTCTCTCTATTTATGGTGGAATGTTCCCTGATAGGCCACAGAGAGCATGTTTCTCCACAATTACAAAAAGTTATGCTGATATGCTGTGTTTTGTAAAGAGTTGGAAGGGAACTGTACATGCACAGCAGAACACAATGCAGATATGGACCCACTACAATCACATCATTAAATATAAACACCTTTAGGTAACAAAGTAAACCAATTGGGATATGCATGTTGCATAAACTCCAATGAAAACTCTGTTATTCAACATTACATGTCTCCCTCAAAGACTACCAGTCTCCACAATGTGCCTGATGTGTCACTGTTTCCTTGAATCTGAATAGAATTTACGGTAAATCCTCTTATTATTCTTCTGATCAAATTTCCTGAAACTATGCACATCCTGTACACTCATAAGACCAAACTATGATGCTCACTGAGATGAAGCAGCAGCATGTTCCTCCTCTATGAGACTTGGCAGACGGGAGTTGAATGAACATAAATACACAATACAGGCCTCAGGGGTCTGGGAACATTCCCTTTTGGGCACAGAAAAAAAAAAGAAAAAAAAAAAGAAAACTCACATTAGCTCATAGTTTCGGCGAATGCTCTCTGGGATGTTGGGCTTTGTCACTCTCACCGCCTGTTGACCACATGAGACAGAGAAACTGAAGTAGTTCGACAAAGACAGCAGGAGTGTAATAAGAAACATGCAATGTTATAACTGTTGGAGAGAAGCCCTGAGACCAAGACTTCTATTTAAACACCCCCTGAATGTTGGGATTACTGGTTCTACAGAGAGAGAAAAGAGCAATTGTTTTTTGTAGTATTTCTGGAGAGTTACAGGAATCACGATGCCAGAGAGGACAAGGCCAGTGGAGCTTTTTACACCCACACATTAAAATGTGGGTGTAGAGATTCAACAGAAGTGACAGGGGACCACAGCAGCTCTTTTAAAGTCAATCATATAAGCACAAAACAATGTAGACTGGAAAATCAAAGGCTCTATATACTTTGTTTCATTAGGTCAACTTCACTATTATTCAAACCCCCCTACAGTAGCTTATTAGTCCCCTAAAATTCCTCTTTGTTCCTAAAAAACAACATTGTCAAAAGATTTGACATGAAAAAGAAAATCCCCTCATGAAATGGCTAAAATGTATCTCTTATACATTCCTTATTTTGTGACTGGGGTCTATGAAAAGGCTCACAACTCACCTGCAGTTCAGGAGTCTTTTCCCCACCCAGAATCCCTTTGTTTGTTATATTGGAAATCCTCAGCCACAGTGTTGGCTGCTTATTTCACTCAAAATATGTCTTCTATCAAATAAAAGGCACACGGGGAACTTTAACCTCCATGTTCTGGTTCTATACTGCAGTCTTGGTCAGTTTAGATCTTTACAAACACATGCTCAGTGCAGACCTTGAGCTATTCTATGATTGAATATTTTCATTTTCTTGCTCAATAAGTTGCCTTGTCTCCTCCTCCAGCATGATAAACTACATTTCCCAGAATAAACACCCACAAAATGCCCACAAATGTGCATAAACCTTACAATCAGAGGTATGTGTAATAGCATAGACATAAATCAAATGTTACTACTGAACACAAATACAAGAGCAATGGCACTACTCAGATCATGTGGTGAGCCTGTGTGACCTGAGAGCTGTGTTGCACATCATTACCAATCTCACGCAGTTTTCTGTCATCTCTCTACTGTCAACTAATCAGGGGCGACACTGTCTCAGGAGAAAGAGCGGAAAACAGGTCAGCTGTTCTAACCCAGTCTCCCCCATTGTGTGTACTGAAGTGTCTTTTGGCAAGATACTGAAACCAACATCCCCCCTGTCGGCTGTTCCAGCAGTGTGTGAGTGCTGTATGATAAAGTGTTGCACATAGAGGCACTGTCTGAATGTGTGTGTGAGAGAGAACGGGTGAACGGCAAAACTTAAAGTGCTTTGAGTGATTCAAGACTAGAAAAGTTCTATACAAATACAACACAATTCAATTTTATGCAATACCCAATATAAAAACATTCAAAACACTGTATGCATGACCAAGAGCTCATTGATAAAGCTGGTGATTTCTGATTCCTTAAATCAATAGTAAACTGCACTAACCAAAACCTTAAGCTTTGCATAAAGTGGAAATGAGAAAGTCAATCTGAACCGTCTGATTAAATAAACATTGTCTTGCGGCCGTTCTGATGGCTTCACTGTACCTGTATGATTAGTCCGGGTGCCATGTTTGTTAGATCTTCTTGTAGCGTCAACTTCAGGTTTTCATCAATTTGGTCTGAGTGGGGAAAAGAGGGAGTAACGTCAATAAAAAAAAACGATGGCACACTCAGTAGGTGTTTCCCTTAGAGCTTCATTCAGACATAACAGTTAACATATGCTGCTTTCAGACATGCAATGAACTCGGGACATTCTGCTGATGTACTGTATTTTAGATGTGCTGTATGTGAGAAAAACTATGTCCAAGCATTCTCCAGACATTTTTCTTCCAGTCCCCTTGAAAAAGGACAGGAGAATGTCAGAGTGAGCCCATGTGAGAATACAGTGGGAAAATGGCCAACAAATTCACAGCGAGTTAGTGGGCGAGCATGTTGATGGCGTAGAAGAAGCAGAACAAGTTGTTAACTTGCAAACGCAACTAGATTCGAGAGCTATTGAAGATAGAAGCTGACACCGGTGAAAATGTGCTGTAAACAACAACTGATCTTCGCAGCAGAACTCATGTAATTTCCTGCAGCATGTTTGACCGAGATGCCATCTTTGTTTTTTGTTTTTTTTGTTTTTCTCCTTGCGCATGTCTGTCCTGCACCCCCTGTCTGTCTCTGTGGTTTGGGGACATGCCGTTCCTCACAATCTCCCTAGTGGCAGTGTCTGTGGTCTTTTGAGGTTGATCCAACCTTGCTGATGTGGGTCCATGACAAAAATAAGTTATTTTACTCATAAACAGGATTTACAAACTATAAATGTAAATTTTGGACTTAAATTAATTTTTAACAAACCCCCCCCATAGCAGCTTGAATATGGCTCTTTCATTTGTGGTTTATTTTTGTGGTTTCATGTGTAAAACAACAACATGTGTATTTAATCTGTATATTTTGCTTTGGCCCTTTTCAGACCTGGTATTAACCTCCATCCTGAAGAACACAAGTGCTCAGCTCTAAGCTCGTCCGTTCATACCTGGTATTAACATGTGTCCTGAATGTGTCTCCTGTGAACACGTAATCGGATCTCGTTTCCCTGTTCTATATGCAAATAATCTCAAACGATATTTCTGTTTGCAAAGACCATGTAATGTTATTTTCCCAGTTTGAGTTAACAGAGGTGTGTGTGGCTGAGGTGTCAAGATAGGCTGAATGAATCTTGTGCAGCTGTGCTGTGAAGAAAGATTTTACCAATTTAAGAAAAGAATCAATCATTATGTGTTGGTCAGTGTCGATATTCTGGCCACAAACAAATCAACATACGGACACTAGGGTTGGGCTGACGGACGATGCATCATGATGTGGAGCCAACATGTTGATATGTCAGTTTCACCACATACATTGTCATATGCCAGTTAAGTTGACATCGCCCAACCCTAATGGACACTGTGTAAAAATAAATGTAGTTTATCGTGAAGAGAACAGACATGTTACTGTGACTTTTGAGAACTGTACTATTCAACTACTACATAGTCAAATGATCAGTGCAACAGTACTGTCCCATTTATCAGTCAATCTCAGATATCTGGCAATAATTTATCCTGAATATTTTATTAGTGTTGAGACCAATAAGCAAATCAATTTATTCACAGAAGTGATCTGTAAATAAAAGAAATCCTACATAATTCGTCTGATAAATGATCCGTAAGTATGTTTCTTGTAATCACAACATTGTTGTGTCCAGCTTCTGGTGACTGTGGTTAGATGGATAGTTTTCCAAATGTACATGTTGCTTCACTTAATTCCACATGCATTGTAGCTGTTAATGAGACCTGCTGAGACAAACCAAACATTCAGGGTGTTTTGTTCCCTGGGCAATAGAACGACTCCATGCTGTTTGTCAAATCTGTTTTCTGTGCAATAAAAAAACTGAGAGTAGCCGTTTCAAATTAGTGGTGCAGTCTGTAGTGAACCATACTTACCAAACAGGCCGATGTAGACTTCCTGCAGCGAGTGAACACTGCAGAACTGGTTGAGCTCATGGTGCACCTTGTTAAAAATCAAAGCTTTATCATAGTCTGCGGTGAAGTTCCTCACTATGTCGTACACTGCAGAGTGGAAAACAGGCGTTCAGGTCAGAAATGACAGTAAAAACGCACAACACAGGGGCATATTTGATTCTGCTGAAGCAAGCTGCTAAAAAAATAAAATTGAATGCGCTGTCTTCAGGTGTGTCTTACTGACTCACAGCTGCAGAATATAAAAAAGAATTCCTCAGGGGGTTAAGGATAAATACACTGTTTGATGTTTTTGGCCTGTGGAACACTGGTGAGTTTACCTGCTGATGGAACAAGATAATTCACCACTTCTATGCGGTCAAAGTAAATCATCACTCCTCCACTGAAAAAAGAAAGAAAACAAGACTTAACACCTGTTATCTGCACTTTTAGCTAATACACTGTATGTGATCAAAGTTGTTGCATGTTCAGTCTGAGAGATTCCAGTGGTTCAGACATGTACTGATGAACTTCTGACTCTTCATTCTCTACCCGATGTCCTGTGTGGGAGTGTGTTGGGTACAAGATGAATGATGGCTGTAATAAGTGTCTGTAACACATGATTCCACTTAAGTCAGTGAAAACTGCAAACCTACCTTGTGCCACATGGTACATTCTTCACCTCATCTGTCTGCAGCGTCGTCTGCAAAAATAAAGATTAACATTTAATGTATAACGTTGTGGCATTCAGGACGTCAGGAGCAAATTTTAGAGTTTTTCTTACAATATCATCATCCATCTACTACTTTATCTAATCATTCCAGAATTCTCTGTCTGTCCTTCTGTGTGTCGGTGGAACGAATATCTCAAGAACCCTTAATCTCATCAGCTTTAAATCTGGTAGGATTTGGACATGTGATACGGTCAATATCAATAAACTTTGAATGTACAGTCACCCAGCAGCAGTGGTTTGGACTGATCAGTGGAGATGTCATTCACAACAACAACAACAACTACTGATTCACTGAACTTTAAATATAGAGGTGAACAGCGCTTTGTGCAGCAGCAGTGGAGCAGCTTCAGGGTTCTGTGGAATGAGTCCAGCAGCAGGTCTTTACCTGCAGCAGCTCCATCAATGCAGATACCTTTCACAGTTTCAGTTAGAAAATATGCAACCAGCATTAACACAGGCAAAGTTAACAGACCATTTTAAAAAGGGGGGCTCAGAACGGGCACTGGACTGGTTGTAAAAAATACCTATCAATTCATCAACAAAGTGTTTTCGATCATTCAACTTATTTCATTTAAGACAGCTGGATGTCAGTCGTGCACACACTGTAACAATCCACACAACCTGAACATTATAACCCTCCCAAAGGTTGTTGATAATAAAAGGCTGCCTTGTTGTTTTGGATTCATCTGGGTTTGTCCATCTCTTCAAATTCAGTGTGTGTTCCATGACCAAAATATTTTCATTTCCCTTGTTGAAGCAGCAGCGAAGAGCACATACCACTTATAGTGGGGATAGGCCAGAGTGCTATATCAGCTGATATCAGCAAAGAAAACAAGCAGTGACACCATTACACAGTTCTAACAAGTTCACTTTCATACTGTAAAAATCGGTGTTGTCAGTATGCATCTTAGTGACTTTTGGCTGAATAAATAATAAAACAACTAGTTAATTCATAAAGTCACAAACATTTTATTTAAATATTATCACTATCTTGCAAATATTCTGAATTGGCTGTAATTTCAATTCTTCTTAGTTCCATTCTTTCTCCTGGAATCACTTTATCTTTCATCTAGATTTGCAATCAGCTGTAAAAGGTTATGATTTTCCCTGAACTGGTTTCCTCTGAACAGATGATCAGTGTATTCATCATTAATGTGTGCACACAGCTTATTACTCACCTGCAGACTGTGTGTAATGAAGGCTAGACCTTCTTTCAGTATTAATTAATAGGACTCCCATATACAGATGATATGGTATGGCCAACTCTTAACCACCATCACATGCTCACACACTGTTTTACTACTTTGTATGACTTGAAAATGGTTCTGTCAGCCTGTGATTATGTTGACCATTTGAAGCCCTCTTATTCCCTGGACACATGCATCTGTGGATGTTTCAAATTTTCAATTAAAAACTGCTCTACATAACATCCCTGGTAACAAAATATTTAGACCATTCAGAAAGGATTCCAGGGTAACGATATGGTCTGTCAACACTTCTTTCTTTTCTCTTTATTTTGATATTGTTAAATCTCTTTTACAAGAATTACAGTTTTTTTTTTTTTTATGTAAGTGAACACCCTCCCTGAGTCATGTTCGATGTCACGAATTGGAAGCCGATGAAAACCTTTCTGCTGCAGAGTCATGGGAGTGAATGTCGATTAAATCAGATATTAGTGTGTGTTACTGAGTTTTGTGGAAAAGTGGCTTAATTCTCATACACACTCTGTTCGTGATATAATGTGCAGCCGTTACTGTCCATTATTATTTATTCTCTATTACTGAGGTTGTGTCTGTCTGTGTACTGAAGATCTCAGGCCAGAGATTTGTGACTTAAGGCTATGAAAATTAAACTGGCTTGATGTAACTTACCTGAACAGACTTGTAGGTTGTGATAAATGGAAGCATAAGATGGAAACCAGGGCCACTGGTGACAGTTAGGAGAGCCCCTCCCCTGTGATACACACAAACATATACAAATCAAATGATTATTATAGCTCAGAGTGGGCTTCAGATCACAACAAGACTACTTCCTGAGGGAGCCTCAGCTTTTAATGAAAGAAAACCAACTACATTTTGATTACTTATGTTAAGATGACATGAAGAGGGACAGTTTTACTTTCACAGCTAGTATTAGCAGCAGGACTTGTTTGCTCTCATACTCCTTTGTCCAGCCGCTGATAGCAAGTCCAGATATTACACATTTCACATTCTCAATCAACCTGTTCGTTAAGGTACAGTGTGTAGTATTTAGTGATATCTAGTGTTGAAATGGCATGTTGCAGCTGAACACCCCTCACCTCACCCTCTCCTTCCAAACATGAAAAAGAACCTGTGGTAGCTTCAGTTTACATAAAAACTCAAAAGGTGTTTAGTTTGTCCAGGCTGGACTAATGTAAAAAACATGGCAGCCTCCGTAGAGAGGGCCCCCTCGATGTAAATATAAAGTATTTCAATATAAAGGGCCTTTTCTGGGGTAAAGACAACTACAATTCATACAATTTAGATGAAATGAACTAGTGAAAACATCATGAGGATTATTCTACATTACATTTCTGAAAATAGTTCCCTTTCACCTAAATCTTACACACTGGACCTTTAATGCAAGAGATAAAGAATCCTCCCAGATGAGTCAAACTCTGCTCTTCAACCACACAACAACATGAGTCACAACGGTCTCAGTCACTGACAGCACAATCTTCTATTTAAAGAGCAGTAGCAGGTAATAACAGATTTTATCTAAGCTGTAATAAAAACACTGATATTTGCTTCATGTCTGTGCAAGTAATAAGATTAAAATTAACTTCAAGCTTCACAAGTGTGAGTGACATTTTAGTCAACCTCAACATCCTAATATTTGCAGAACCTGCTGATTAACGGTTAATGTTCTTAAGGCAAACAGTTCTGAAGCAGATGCTCCCTTCTTTAATGTCTTACTTTTACAGTCTCTCACTTTAAAGTCTCAGACACAAGATAAAAAAACGATATGTGTTTTACAGTCTCACCTGTAGTAAACTCCAGTGTGTCCCTCATCGATCTTGTGTACGGAGGCCAAGAGTGCTGCTCCTCCGAGAGCAACAATTATTGAGAATATGGCACCCCACTGTGCCATCCTGACAAGCGAACAGAGGAGACAGCATGTGAAAATCAACTGTTTCCCTTTAAGAGTTCTCACAGTGTCTCGCCTTAATCACAATCAAATGTTCGGACACTCTCCTCCTAACTTTAAGTGACTGATAAACAGTCAATCCATCCCGAGGAGCCACTCGGCAGCTTGTGCAGTAGTAAAACAACTTCAGAGTTGGCATCTTGCTCACTGGTTTATCTCCTCTCAGCTCAGGCTTAGCCAGGCGTCAGCTGGGACTCAGTGACCTTGTCACACTTAAAGAGGATTAAGGCTAAAGCGCGAAAACGTTCTAACCTCTCTCTTGTCATATGTATCATAAACATGACGCTATGGATTTGAAAAAATATCTTAACTCCTTTACATATATATTTATAAAGGTTTAGTGTAGCTGGTCTGAGCAGAGGGATTTGGAAGAGGAGCCGTCTCAGCTCTGGTAAGAGAGTAAATTTATATCTAATGACAGTGCTTCAACACTGAATTATCAGAACAGATAGTGTTCACACTGGATTCTTCCTTTAGATTCTGTGTTAAATATCTTTAAATACTCACATTTCCTCAATGTGTGTGTGACTGTGTTTTAATTGTGTCCATTTAATGTATTGTTGGTTTGCTGACTCTCAAGGTCATTTTATTTTCTGTATATCAATGTTCTGTATATTCCAATTTTGTAATAAAGAACAATATTTAGATCAAAGCTTTCAAATGAGCTCAATGGGTTTTCTGCCTCCTCCTGCACCGTATATTAATATTACTTCTATTTTTTCTATGTATTTCTTTCATCTGTGCTAAATAAAAAAAATCTCTATTTTGATGCTAAGTTGTTTTTCTGACAAAGAAAATCGATTTATCTCTGAAACGAACAAAGATCTGAAAACAGGAACAAGCTGATGTCCACGTTAGTGAGATACAATGGATCAGTGTTGTGAGGTTAACATCGTGCATGGACGGAGCGGAAGGAAGCGATGGTTTCTTCCGGGTAACTCAGTTTCAGCAACTTGATCCATTTGACAATGTCTTTCCTCAGCAAACTAAACCTGTTCTTATCAAACCGTGAGCTTCGTGGAGAACACTGCTTCCTCTGCAACAAGAGCTTTATAAAATAGTTTCAAATTATTAAACTATCAACATTAACAACATCTCATGATTGCCGAATGGAAGACGCGACTCTAAATAATTGTATACAGAGTCAGATTAATCAGATTGTGAGAAGTATGTCTGACTTTATGGCAACTCAACTTTAAATATAAAAACAACTGAAGGGGTTTTGGTTTAGAGAGCTTCAGGCTAACAGCGTTAGCAGGGCGTAAGTTACTCAGTTGATGTTATCTCGAAGATAAGAAGCTTCCTGTAATGGAGGAGCTGTTCAAATATAATGTCAGTGATCTGGTGGTCCAGCCGTCACTTCAGTGTCAGTGTTGAAACACCACACAAGGCCAAATACTGACTAACCTTTAACACAAGTTAGCACAACTCATGTTTACGCGTCTCCTCTCCTGTTGGCGTTCAGAGGCCATATTAAACCAGAGGGGGGAGGCAGGGGTTAGGTTTACACACACAGTCACTCGTGCTCCTGGAGCTCGGCAGCTCTTACCTGGAAATCTGAGATCGAACCAAGAACCGAGACGAAGCAGGTACTCCACACACCCGCTACACTCTTCTTCTCCTCCTCCTCCGAGTCACCGTTCAACAGCCAGATTATCGCATTAGCGCCCTCTGGGGGAGACCTTCTGTGTTTCACATACACTCTGCAGCAGTGTACAATGACAAAAAAACATTCAAATAAAAATGTATAACAAATTGTCTCATGGTCTCTCGTTTGTTTTGTTGGTAAGTGACTGGACCTGGATCTGATCTA